AAGGAGAGGAAGGAGCTCCCTTTCCCTCATGTGGGGAAACATTTCACTAGGACCACAGACCTGAAGGGTGCACAGATTAATGAGTACTGCAGGTTATTCCCCTGCAGACTGGTCCACAGGGTCTGCACAGTCATGGGTAGCTTGTACCTGGTATTGGCTCATGGCCCCCTCAGACAAGGATGCTGTGAAACACCAATCCTAAATCCTTGATAACTAAGGTTTCCTGGAGGGAAACCTGTGGTAGTTGGTTTACCTCCTCCTGTGCTGGACAGAGACCCTTCATGCTGGGGAAGTGGGCACACTGCCATCTGGACTTCCTGCAGAGCTCCGACTTCTGCTGTCTCAGGCCACACCTCAAATTGCCATCGTGTGTCTCCTGATGTAGAGAGCTCATCCCTTTAAAGAGGAAGGACATGTGAAAGGGACTCTAGGGGAACTTGAAATATGCAGCACTTAAGCTAGACCTACTATGCATCCCTCTCCCCATGGCTCCTCTCCTCTCTCTTCCTTTCTCCCCAAATCCCTCCCTTAGCCAATTCTTTCCTGCTGCCTCTGCAATCTCTGGTTCTCATCTTCTGCTCTCCATCTCCAGATCAACTTTGTCACTTTATTTAGAAGTGGGTTTGTACTGTGGCACTGATGATTTTGAAGTCAGAGTTTTAAATTTGCATGCCCTTACAGTGAAGCAAGATAATGTGCCAATTACAGAGGACAGATGACAGTACCAAACACAAAATTAGTGTAGTAGAAACCCGAGGCCTGGAACTGACCAGTGACTCTGCAATGAACACTGACAAGTGAAAATATGTGGACAGAGAGGTCTACAGTGTGACTCACTCTGTCACACTCGGTCACTGCAGCTTCCACAAGGAAACCTTTAAGTCTCCCCTTTTTAAAATGTATCTTACTTTCCCTTTTTATTCTCTTAAATTTTGTTTTGTTTGGGCAGGTGTAAGTTGGAGGGCAGATGTGAAGTGATGGGGACATGAATGTAATCAGGATACCTGATGTAAAAGACACATAGAATGAATATATAAATGAATAAATAACTCAGTAGAGAGATAAGTAAATAAATAGATGAAATAAATACATGAAGAGCATACAGGGTAAAAAGCACATTCTCACCCTCATGAGTGAATGAAATTTGGACATTTTTCAGAAAACAGATACAACTGAGGATGACTGTGTTATGTGTGACAAGCTTGTCCCAAAAGACAAGGATCACTGTTTTCTCTCATACGCAAAATGTGCAGGTCATAGGGGTCAGAACATGAACAACAGAACACTCAGGACATGGAATAGGACAATGGTCTTCCTGGGACTGTTGACAGTGTTCTTGGGAGGGGCTGATCCCCTCTACCATCACACACTGTCTAGAGTGGGGTGCACAGAGTCCTAGTTGGTTCAGAATCCAGAAACCTGCAGCCCTGGGTTCTCCATTAGCCAGTGAGTATGAACAAAGTTCAGTGGCCTAAATCCAACCCAAAGTGGTTTTGACAAGTAACAAAAACACTGTGGGACCCATGAGCAAGAGTAGACATAGAAGTCAGCAGACAAGCATACAGTACCTGGATGTCGGATGAGTAGAACTGGAAGCTGCTATCTAGATTCTGTGGCTTCATGCAATGCCTCTGCCACTGGTGTCCTTTAGTGAGAGCCCTGCTTTCAACATCCCAAGACAGGCACCAGCTGTCTCAGTGACCCACCTTGAGTCCTCAGCTGTGATCTCAAGGCTCAAATGGAAAGAACTCAATCAATCAGACCAGGTAGCCAATCTGGACTCTCCTGATTGGTCAGGTTGAAGTCATGGGATGTGTGCCTGGTGGGGATCCTGGGAAAGGGTTAGAGAGCAGCCTTTGCATGCTCTGTGCCTTGTTCCCAAGGATGTGTCAGCTAGTGCATACCTCCTCCAGCCCACTGACCAGGGTCCCCAGAAGAATTCATGACAGCAGTTCTCACCTCCAGGTATCTGTTCACTGGTGGACATAGACTTCTATTCTGAAGGGTCGATTCGGACTTTGCTGCTGTTTGTAGTCCATCCTGGATGACAGAACCTTCAGTTCAATCCCTGACCCTGTCAGGATGAAAGAAGCACAGAACTTGTCTCCTTTCCCTCAAATGTCTGATGAATTTACCATTGGTGCTATACATACAGTACTTGAAGCCAGGCATGGCAGTCCACATCTGTAATCACAGCACCCAGGAGGCAGAGAAAGGGGTCACTCTCTGTGAGGTTGAGAGCTGCATGTTCTACACAGAGAGTGTTGAGATAGTAAGGGCCATACAGTGAGATCCAGTCTCAAAAAAAAAAAATAAAAATAAGATGAGGATTCAGGAAATTTTCCTATCTCATTTCTAGAATTCAACAGAATCTGCCTTCATTGATATGCAGCAGATACACAGTCTGACACCGGGTGATACCCACAAACTGAAAATTCCTCTCTCTTCCTGAACAAACTGACTGATCTTGTTCTCTGCACTTGGGACTCACCAGATGGTCAGGGTTCTAGAAGTCAGTGACAGCACAAGCTGACTGTCATCCACTGGGAAGATCTGGCCAAAGACTTTAACATGCATCGGTATTTGTTCACAGGCCAGGATCAGATGGTCAGAACGGATCTGGAGGCCAACTACAACAGAGAAGACGGTTCCTCCCTTGTCACACCTCTGCAGTCTCTCAGTCTCCCATTGCTCTTCAGTTGAGCAAGTCAATGATAGCTTTCCCTCTGTGTCAGGGATGCTGGCACATGCCACCTCATGGGATCCTTTTCAGCACATCAAGACCAGGCTTCAGAGACTTGTCTTCTACCACACACAGATACTTACTGTACTCAAACTTACCTGCAGGCCCATGATTCACACAGATTAGTACCCTGGATTCCCTGTTGAGTTCATTTTCCCTTGTAAATCAGTGAGATGCTCCCTACCTGGAAGGTGTCCTGTAAACAAGTGAGACACTACAACTCAACCAGTGCTTCACACTGCACCAGGGGCTGTTGCTGTGGGATGGTCTGTATGGCAAATGTGTTGCTGATTGGTCAATAAATAAAACACTGATTGGCCATTGGCTAGGCAGGAAGTATAGGTGGGACAAGGAGGAGAATAAAGCTGGGAAGTGGAAGGCTGAGTCAGAGAGACACTGCCAGCCGCCATGATGACAAACAGCATGTGAAGATGCCGGTAAGCCACGAGCCATGTGGCAAGGTATAGATTAATAGAAATGGATTAATTTAAGCTATAAGAACAGTTAGCAAGAAGCCTGCCACGGCCACACAGTTTGTAAGCAATATAAGTCTCTGTGTTTACTTGGTTGGGTCTGAGTGGCTGTGGGACTGGCAGGTGAGAGAGATTTGTCCTGGCTGTGGGCCAGGTAGGAAAACTCTAGATACAGGCTGTCATCAAGAGATCCATGATGATCAAGGTTTCCTTGTAAGTCTGACCCCAATGGTGGGCGTTGGTCATAGAGAAGTCCAGTGTTCTGGCCTTGTAAAGACAATACCCAGGATCAGGCCTGGCAAGGCCTACTTACCTTCCCACATTGGAGCAGAACAATGTTAATGTAAGGTCAAATGTCAGTTATAAATCCCTCCATGAGATGGAAAAAATGATGTAAGATTCTTGGATCAGGAGGTGGGAGACAGCAAGTGAATCCTGGATGAAGGAGGCTATGGAGACAAAGACATAGATGTCATCAGATCTGCCAAAGGACATGTCAGACAGGAGCAGGAGAGGACTCCACTGCAGGATGGAGCCACCCTTCTCTTCTGCCAGACCCTTCTTCAGTAGCCCAGAATGGAAGTCCCTTTCCAAAGCAGCCTCATACTTCACTACATTGACGTATGCCAGGAACCATCAGAACAGGTTCCATTCCTCCTCATGGCTGGCAATACACCCAAGGTCACACTCTGCTCTGTTTGAGACATTTGTTCCTGGTCTCACTTTTTCAGACCCTTAACCCAGCAAAACCTCCTTTTCTCCACTCATTGCAGGTAAGCTCTTCTGGACAGACTCTACCCTCTCTCCAGGTCCTCTCATTTCCTCTTCATCCTCTCCACCTCCTTTCCCCTGTTTCACCCCTTATCTCCATCCCTCTGTCTCCCACTGGATTTACAGTTCCTGCAGTTCTTCTAAAAGACTGTCAGAAAGCAGGTTGGAGGTGATGAAGTGATCAAAGAAGAGGGAAGCCTGAGACCTGTGTGCAAGTCTGTCCTGTTGACAGAGGCAGCCCTTGTAGATGCCGGGGAACCCTGGTTCTACAGGAACCATGAGGGATGTAGACATTCATTAGGTCGATGCTACACGTGACTACTTAGTGATGTTCAACAACAGTGCAGGGGCAGCAGTGAGGTGAAGGATGGGGAAGATGGCAGCTGAGACCCTACACCTGGAGGATGGATACTGGAACCTGTAGCCCTAACGTGTCATCACACAGGACACAGAGTTCCAGCCTGGATCCTTCCTGCTGCACCACACCACACCAAGACTGTAGTTCAAGTAGACCATTTCACTTTCCCAAATAAAACCCGAAAGAATAAAGAAAGTGCCTCTCTTAGTGACTTTAACAGACAGGACTTACTCAGCACTGAGGAGGACGTGACTACACAGACCAATAGTGCTGCACTTTTCTCCTGCTACACCCCAGATCTGTAGGAAGAACAGGATGTTATTTACAAGACAGCATCCTACCTGTGTGCCTTGACACATGATAGGAACCATCGGAGCAGGCCCTCTCCTCCTCATTGCTGGCTGTCCCTAGCTCCCTCCCACTCTGCACTTCAGGGCAGGTTCGTTCCTGCTGTAGACTGTGCAGGGCCCCTGTGGCAGCTCAGCACACACATCTCTTTCATGCTACTTTGTTGACAGGAAGTTCCTCAGGACAGACTCTACTCCTTATTCTACACCACCTCTCATGTCCCCTATTCCTGTCTCAAAACTGTTCCCCAATTAGTCCTCCTTATCTCCTTTCACCCGCCTCCATTCTCCAGAGGACTTACACAGGTCTTGCTGTTTTGTCCATAAGGCAGTCACAGAGTAAGTTGGAGGGTTAAAGTGACCAAGATGATGAGCAGCCTAGATTGGTATAAAAATCCTTCCTGGTGGTAGAGGCTGCTGTTTTCCATGCAGTGTGAGTGGTCCTACAAGCACAACCAAAGCTAGGAAGGTAGAGAGGGTCATGGGGTCCAAGTGACTTATGACCCCCAGTTGTTCCACAACAGTTCTGAGGCTGGATTAAGCTGAAAGAGATGCAAAGTGGCAGCTCAGACCCAATAGCTGGAGGATGAATGGAGGCAGGAGCCTGTTGCCCTGGGTTGGAGGGAGCTGGCACACTGGAGATGAGTTCTGGCTCACTTCTGTGGCAGTCACTCCTCACCAGGTCTGGAATTCTATTGGGCCATTTCAGTTTCCACACTTCAAAGAAGAAAGAAACATGAAAGCACCTCTATTAGTGACTTTGGCAGATGAAAGTTCTGTGCCATATTTCTCCTCCTGATTCCTCCATTCTGAACCTTTAACCCCTTTAGACAAACTCTCCTCCCTTCCTTCCACCCTGTGGTCCCCATGCTAGGCTATCTGCTTTTACCTCAACCTTCCAGGACTTTACATGAACAGGAAGCTGTGAATTTGCCATCTAATGTACTACATAGCAAATTCTGTGCCCTCTGAGTGGGTATAACTTTTCATTTCAAAAGGATATTGAAATAGCATATTGAAAAGACAACATAGGAATTCATCTGTGTGGCCCAACCAACTGTTCTCCATGTAGGTCTCCACTGTCCTCTCTTTCCTTGCAGCCCCTGATGCAAGGGTTCAGGGCTCACCTTCGGGTGGGCAGGCAGCACCACAGTGCTCTCAGTGCATAGAGAATTTGCTTCCTCACCAGTTCCCAGACCCTGAATGGCCTGGATCCAGATGTTGTGGGTGCCACCTGGGGCTGGTCACTGGGAATGTCTGGCTCCTGGGATGAATCTTCTTCACAGAAGCCCAGGTTGAGAAATACTGTGGGTGTTGCATCCAAGACTGATTCAGGGGAGGAGAGATTGCCAGGTAGGGGGTCAACAGAATTCCTGTTGACTGCAATGTCCTCTGCAGGAGTGTTGATGACGTCAGCCACAAGAGCATCTCTTTCTGGGACTGTGTTGTCTGAACCGGGCATCGCCTCCAGGAAGGAGAGTCTATGAGGCATGGTGTAGCTTCTGCATCTTTTGCCTCTTTCTTCCACACCCTCCTCCTTAAAGTGATCCTTCCCAGCATGTGTACTGGTTGTAAATGCTGGATCACTGGCTCTCTTCAAGGGGAGAGGGAGGCGAACAGGATCTGCTGGGCTGCTAGTTAGCCAGGGCACCTGATCTTGAAGATGGCTGTCCCCACAACTCAGCTGATATTTGAGAATGTTGCACGTAGCCATTACACGATTATCTTCTCGCCTGTGAGTTAGGGATGACACAATCTCCTCACAGGTATAGCCGATGGTGCACATAGTCTCCACGACCCTGGGCAGGATTTCTTTGGTGGCAGGCAGTACATGTTGTTGAATGGGGCCCAGCCATGGTCGTTCCACAAGCTGAGAGATTGTGAATCGGAACCAGGTGGGGACCATGAGTAGTCGGGCAATGATGATGTGACAGGGTTTGGACAGATGGTAGGGAATGGGACACATTGTGGTGGTGATGAGTCTGTGCATACCATCAAGGGTTTCTTCCATGTATGGAAAGTGCCCTGTGATCAAGACATATAGAACGATACCCAAGCTCCACATATCACCTGCCAGTCCATCATAGGGCTTTCTTGCCAAGATCTCTGGGGCCCAATAGAGCAAGGAGCCACAGATCTCCTGCAACATCTGCCCCTCTGTGATTTCAATCGCCATCCCAAAGTCACAAAGCTTTGCATTTCCTGCTGCATCGACTAGGATGTTTTCCAATTTAATATCACGGTGTGCGATGTGTCTCTGGTGGAGGAAGTGAACCGCTGACACCACCTGCCGGAAAATCCCTCTAGCCTCCTCCTCCTTTAGACAGCCCCGTGCCCTGAGGCAGCTCTCCAGATCTTCTCCTGCCACATACTCCATAATCACGTAAGTGGTTGACAGTGTGTCGATCATGTCAAAAAATCGAACGATGTTCCTGTGTTCCAGTGACTGAAGGATGTTCACTTCAGTACTGATGTCAGCCACACTGTTGGTGTTTTTCTCAAGGACCTTGACAGCCACTCGTGTATGTGTGGGAAGGTGGCAGGCCAGCTTCACCTCCCCGAATGAACCACACCCTAGAGATGTTAACATCCTGAAATCCTTTTCAAGAATGTCCTCTTCCATGTGGCTGCCCATGGTGTTGTGCTCAATTTCAACCACTTTATCTTGTGGGAAATTTCAGACCCACACAATGCTAAAAGAAAAAGATTAATGCAGTTTTAGGAGGGAAGGCTATAGCTTGGAATTCTCTGTCATGAAATCTGAAATATCCCAAACAATCTTATGATGCTCTTCAAGGATATAAAAATACTAGAAGAACCTAAACCCAAGGCAGTGAATGAGGAATCATAGGAAAGATCAGAGTTGGTATAAGTAAAGGTGGCATGCAAAGGAAAATCCTGAGATCCCTGAAAGAATGAGCTGCTTCTGTTCAAGGATGTGCCACAAGGCAAAACCCTCAAAAGCTGATCAAGAGAGATCAGATACAAATTACACTATAGAAAAGTTGATGTTGTAACTGATACATCTACAGTCCAGAGGGCCTTTAGGATGTTATAATTTTTATACTCCAGAAAATTATAAAATATGAAAGGAATTCCTAGACATGTGTGAATATTGAGTTAAGATAAAATAAAAACACTTAAACACATAAGTCATAAGCAACCATTTTGGACTGGCAACAAAAACAGCTCCAAACAAGCAGAGCCCAGATCTCATAGATTCCCTGAATCATTTAAAGCTTAGCAGAAGAATGAAGGCCAGGGTTATAGAAAATTCTTCAAGAGAGAAAAAGCAAAGGCCCATATCCAAACTCATCCCTGTGCCAATGTTAGCCTGATCCCACCACCAAGTAAGCTCAAAGAACGGAGCAAGTGTGAGCTCCTTTCCTTGATGAGCATAGATGTGAAGATCATTCGTGAGAGTCCCTGACACTTCACCTCCATCATCCAACACACTAAAGAGCCCTTTGTTCACAGTCCCAATGGCAGAAGTAACATTTGTAACAAATGGAACAACAGCATAGCACATAAGGAGACTGTGGGAAGAATCCACACTCAGCACAGTGACTAGAGAACTGTTGTGTTATAAGGAAAGTAGCTAAACTAGATAGAGTTCTACAGGAGACAAAGCAGGTCCACAAACAGAAACAGGATCTACTCTGTCTCTCCTGGTCATGAGGAAGGAGAGGGCTAGGCTTGTGTAAAAGTCCCAATATCAGTCACAAAGACATGGTGGGGGACTGATGTAGTACAGGGGAATATGATCAAGTACAGTGTAGGCATGTGTGGAAATGTATCATTCAATTGCTTATGAGAATGTGTATATATAAAAAATACCCTGAGTGAAATAACCCAGACTCAGAAGGATAAACATGGTAGGTATTCACTCATAAGTGGATAGTAGATGTAAAGCAAAGGATAACAAGACTACAACCCACAGCTCCAGAGAAGCTAGCTAACAATGTAGTTCCCAAGAGAGACACATAGATAGCCCAGCAAAGGAGAAATAGATGAGATCTTCATGAGCAAACTGGGGATGAGGTGGGGTAATGGAGGGCAAGGAATGGAGGATGAGAACATAAGGGAATGGGGAGGTTTGAGCTGGAAAAAGGACAGAGTGGGAGAGCAAGGAAAGAGACACCATGATAAATGAAGACATCATGGGTATAGGGAGAAACAGGATGCTAGGGAAGTTCTCAGGAATCCACAAGGATGACCCCACCTTAGACTATTAGCAATAGTCGAGAGGGTGCCTGAACTGTCCTACTCTGCTAATCAGAACAGTGAATACCCTAACTGTCATCATAGAGCCTTCATCCAGTAACTGACGGAAGCAGATGCAGAGATCCACGTCTGAGTGCCAGGCCAAGCTCCCGGAGTCCAATCGATGAGAGAGAGGAGGGATTCTATGAGCAAGGGACATTGAGATCATGATGGGAAAAAGTACAGAGACAACTAGCCAAACTAGTGGAAACACATGAACTGTGGACCAATAGCTGAAGAGCCCCCATGGGACTGGACTAAGCCCTCTGGATAGGCGAGACAGTTGCTTAACTTGAACTGGCCAGGGGGCCCCAAGGCAGTGGGATCGGGATCCATGCCTGGTGTATAAGCAGGCTTTTTGGAACTCAGTGCCTATGGTGGGACACCTTGTGCAGACTTAGTGCAAGGGGGAGGGGCTTGGACCTGTCCCAATGAATGTACCAGGCTCTGCTGACTCCCCGTGGGAGACCTTGCCTTGGAGGAGGTGGGAATGGGGGGTAAGTTGGGGGGAAGGCTCAGGGGCAGGAGGAGGGAGGATGGGGGAATCTGTGTATGCATGTAAAATGAAAAGAAAAAAATTTAATAATAAAAATAAAATGAAATTCTCAAAGAACAAAAAATTAAATGTTTCTTCAAAAGTATTTACACATTAAAAAAAGAAAACAAAAGTTTCAAGGTAATCTAATTGCGTCTCGTTCTTCTATGTTCAGGTGCTCTCCCTTGGAGCCTGCTCTTGTCTCAAGGAAAACAGAGGAGCAGTGGATCTGGTGGAGAGAGGAGCTGAGGGCCAACTGGGAGGAGTGGAGGGAGGGGAGGATGCAGTCAGGATGGACTGTATGAAAGAAGAATACATACAAAGAAAAAGTGAAAAACATAAATAGAAATATGAAACAGCAAATCTAAATCCCAGGAGCCAAAACCAACAAAGTGGAAATCAACTTGTCCAATCTCAACAACTAGCAGCAATGATCTGCAGTATTTCAGTAGTCCATAAAATGGAGGGAAGGCACACTTTCAAGCACATTTCATAAAAGAAGTATTCCCCTAATTTCCAAACCATAGAAGACATTTAAAAAAGATCCCAGTATCAGGTAATATCCTTGAGTGACAGATTGGAAAAAACATGAATGAGAATAATTGAGAGCTCATCTCAAATTCAACACCACATTAATAAGACCAGACTTCATGATCAAGACGTCTTTAACCAGGAACACTCGAGATTCGTCCACAGACACAAATTGCCAAAGGGCACAGCATACACACCACACTGAGGTAAGTCCTAAATCAGACATCAGTGGAATAGAATGCTTAATTCATGAAGAAACTTGGAATTAGTGAAAGTGTTACTACAAACATGCCAGTTCCACAAACACAGGTGTCACATTTTGTTCACTGCAGGTCATGAGCAGGCAGGGGGATTGCCTTTGTATAATGGGTCCAATTCAATGGGACTTGTCCCATTGACAAAGTACTTGTCCAATTCAATGGGTTGGGAAGTAAAATATAGCAGATAAATATGATCAAAGTAGAGTACAGCCATATATCAGTCATGATCAAATTCCTCATCCTATGCATTTAATATATATAACACTAAATTTGTAAAATACACAAGAATACTGCCAAAAATGACAAAGAAAAGAAGTTGATAGAAGGAAAACAAGTTGAAATGAAGAAAAAGGAATTACAGGGAAAAAATACTACCCAAACCAATAATGTAAATAAAGAAATAATTAAATACAATTGACAGAATCGCAAACAGAACTTGGGAAACAAACTCACTATGTCCAGATCCAACAGGTCAAGGAAAAGGTCAAGTGTATGGGAAACACGAGTCCAACTGCTCTCCCACCAACCAACTGCTTCTCTGAAGTACAGACAGAACCTAGCCTCAGGCGGTACCTTTTGATTGGCTAGTGTCTAGCATACCTCACAAGGATTCCGTGTGATGTCACATGCTATGGACCAATCAAGGCTCGGAAAAAACCACAGTGATTTTTTAAAATTATTTTCTGTTAAATTATTTAAATTTTTTTTCCATTCACGTTCTTGTCCCCAAGGACAAATACCCTTAGCAGAGAGAGAGGGCTGTTATTCTTCCCCATCCCTCTCCTGTTACTTTCCCAGAAGCCAAGACAGATTCATTGCTGTCACACAGTCACATATTGACTGTATCTCTCCCATCCACCCCATGAATCTAATCAATGAGCTCTTCAGTAGCCTAAATTCCAGATCCCATCCCCTGTCATGTAACACAAGTCTCATATTAACCACGCCTGCTTCTTGGTGTTGAAGCAACTCCTTTCCCCTCAGATACCATGAAGCTAATGGAGACACACTTTGTCTGGTGGGAATAAAACTCCTCCAGACACCCACAGAGTGTCCAGACCATCTTTACTAATGACCTTTTGTCTGAAAGGAAGATCTGTCCGTGCATCACTGTCCTTCTGTAAGCTCTGGCCATTCCCTCCCTCCCCTGATAAAAAATAAAAATACATCCAAGAAGGAGGGAAATAATAAGTCAAAGGGAAAATTAAAGTCTAGGAAATAAAACTAGACAAAACACTCTGAAAGTATTGAGTCAAGAAAGACTCATACAGTGACCAGGACAATTCACTGATGAATTCTATCATCTCAACATCTAACAGCAATGTTCTCCAGATATTTCAGTATCCTATAAGTCTGAGGGAAGGAACATTTTCAATTTTTTTCTCATAAAATATGCATTACCCTTATTCTCACACCAAGTAAATAAAACTTGAAAAGAGGTCAGTGTCAGGCAATATCCTTGACTAACATAGATTAGAAAATCCTTAATGAAAGATAGCTCACACCAAATTCAACAACACATTAAGACCATACTTCACGATCACTCAGGAACATTACGATTCATCCACACATAGAAAATGACACAAAGCAGAACATACACACAACATTGAGGTAAGTCCTGTGACTGGACATCAAAGGAATGAAATGCCTTTTTTCAGGAAAACATTTGGAACTAGAGAAAGTGTTACTTCAAATATTCCAGTTCCACAAACACAACTGTCACAGTTTGTTTCCTAGGGATCCTGAACAAGCAGAGGGAAGAACCTCAGATCATTTGGAAGTACTTGTCACATTCAATGTGTGGGTTAGTGAAATAGAGCATGTAAATATGATCAAAATTCAAAATAGTCAGATATGGGAAGTCATGATCAAATTTCTCATGCTATAGAGATAATATATACCACTCTATGTGTAAATTACACAAGAACAAAGGCAAAAATGACAAAGAAAGAAGTTGATAAAAGGAAAATGAGGTGAAATGAGGAAAAAGCATTTCCAGGCAAAAATCAAAACCCAAACCAAAAAATGTAAATAAAGCAATGAATAGATAACAAATGACAAAAGCCTAAACTGAAAACCTGGGAAACATACT